GTGTGATGGATGTTGTTGCTATTGTTAATCTCCGTTTATGTCTCATGGATGGTTTCTAAATACAGTGATGAAAATAAAAAGAAAATCGAGGCAAAGTGTCATTACCTTCAAGCTATGGTGGATGGAGTCGTCTTCAATCTGGGAGACAATGTCTACGTCACGGTACATGTTTGATTTGTTGATTTTCCATGGTTTCTTCCTCTGTTTGAGCTTTTTGTATTGGTAGATTTTGTTGCTATGAACTGGAGATTGATGCAAATGCATATGATCTATGGAAGGGACGATCTTGTTGGTAGATTTTGTCTCTATTAACTAGAGATGGATACAAATGTATATGATTTAATGAAAGGAATATATTTTCGACGCAGGCTGAACCGGGTGAGCCCAATTACATTGGGAAAATTGTTGAATTGTTCCAAGCAATTCATGGAGAGCCTTACTTCAGAGCCCGCTGGTTTTATTACGCAGAGGATACTGTGAGATGTTTATTGCGTTTGTGTATACTAGATCTTTTGCTCTAACTCTTGCTAATTTGATGATTCTCTCGTTTGTGTTCCCTAGGTAATCAAAAGCGAAGCAGAGCATGTGCAATCGAAAAGAGGACGACAATCCCCTCACTTGCATTTACTCCGCGGTTAGGATTGTGAAAGTCCCTCCAAAGGTAATGGCACAATGTATGAAAAGTTTAGTCTAATTAATTCATCTAACATTTTTTTTTTTTTGTTACAACAGAATGTTACAGGAACTGAGGAGAGAATCATACCGCCGTGTGATTTCTACTATGATATGAATTATGAGTTAGAACACCTGACCTTTTCATGTGCAAGTGATGGTACTTGAATTTTCTATTGCCCATTGTTTAATTAGTTTCCTTTTTAACTTCAGTGTCCATAGACTTGGTTTTTATCTACATGAGCACTATCTTGTTTTAAGTTAAGTCTTTGGTTTCTGTAGTTTTATCCGTATTCACATTCTTCTGTATTGCCACAACACAGATCGTGAGGCATCATCATCAACAATTTCAAGCGAATGTGACTCCAATCGCATTGAAGCTCCTCATAAGAATGAAAAATACTTACTTGATTTATACAGCGGCTGTGGCGCGATGTCCACAGGGCTGTGTGCAGGGGCTTCCCTCTCAGGTGTAAAATTGACTACGGTATGCAATTTTTCTTGAATACTCATGTTTCACAGTAACATCAACACTTTTCTTGTGTGTTTGAGCAAGATTTACTTATAGCTAATTCTGATTTTCCAGAAATGGGCAGTTGATACAAAGAGCTCCGCTTGTGCAAGTTTGAAGCTTAATCATCCTGAAACTGAGGTAACTATATTGGTGCTGATTTTGTATTATGTGTTAGGAAAGTAGATTTAATGTAATCAAATGATTTTGAATGTTGAGCAGGTGAGAAACGAAGCTGTGGAAGACTTTCTGATTTTGCTCATAGAATGGAGAAAGCTATGTCAAAAGTTACTACTGATTCCTAGTAACGAGCCAATAGAACCGGACAGTGATTCGGATGAAGACGAGGAAGAAGAAGATGGTGACAATGATAGCTCTGAAATTCAACCAGAAGAGTTTGAGGTGGAGGAGTTTCTCGCCATTTGTTATGGAGATCCCAAGAAAGTAAAGAAATCTGCACTTCATCTTAAGGTATAATTCCCTGACTATAAAATTTGAATCACACGATTAGGTCTGGAAGATGTCATTTCTGTTTTATTTCAATACTTTCAGGTTCGTTGGAAGGGCTATGGTCCTGAAGAAGATACTTGGGAGCCTTTTGATGGATTAAGGTAACTTTTCAAAATATTACTCTTATGTTTCACCTTTTGTACTTTATATAACAGAAAATGTAAAGATAAGTTGAAGGAGTTTGTGACAAAAGGGTTCAAGTCTAACCTATTGCCCCTTCCTGTAAGTCTTCTTACTTACTTTGATTAAAAATTTTAGTTGTTTATGATCTCTGCCTCTTTTTTTTTTCCTTCAATATTATCAATGCTTATGATGAATAAAAAAAAATCCAAATGTCATGTTAACAGAACAGTCATCGTATTTAATAGTTTTGTTTTGTTCAAAAGAATACATTCTCTTACGTTTTATGGTTTTTTGCTTTGAATAAATTTGTTCCTCTCTTTGAAATTTGTTTCTTTTTCAGGGCGGTGTTGATTTCGTGTGTGGAGGTCCTCCATGTCAAGGTGTTAGCGGCTTTAATCGTTACAGAAATAAGAAAGAACCGCTTGAAGACGTAAAAAACAAACAGTTGGTCGTTTTCATGGAAGTAATTGACTTCTTAAAGCCAAATTACGTTCTCATGGAAAACGTCGTCGATCTTCTAAAGTTTTCCGAGGGGCTTAAAACCTGTAGAATTTGAGGTAAGTCATTTTGTTGAGATGCAGACGTGTTTACTCTTTAAATCTCTTAGTTATTGAATTGCTTTTTCATTTGCTGTAAATTCAGAAGATACAAGTTGGACAGAGCCAAAAGGATCCTAAGCTTGGAAAGGCTCTTGAGCTTTCGGATGCATTAAGTGATCTCCCACCAGTGCGTATCTAAACTTTAAACTGATTATAACTGATTTTGAAACATTATATGTCTATATTCTTCATTGTTCAACGCTTCTTCTACGTTTTTAGGCGACAAATACTGAGGTAAATGATCAAAGGAATTTACGAGACTGGATCAACCCAAAAAGACTATCATAAGTTTATAAGTCTTGCAAGATCTGGTGAGAATCTTAAAATCCATAGATTTGACATCAACATTTACCTAATTAGTAACGGATTTTCTTGTTTCAGAATCAATAATCCCCATGGATGGTCGAAATCTTTCACAGCGAAGAATTTTGTTTGATCATCAACCACTTCAACTATCAAAGGATGATTTAGAACGGGTCCGCCAAATTCCAAAGAAGAAGGTGTGGCTATCTTTTGATGTTACATGTTATATAGTATGTGCTTTGATGGTTCAGTGTGTAATAATCTCTTATTCTTGCTTCTCCTACAGGGGGCCAATTTTAGGGATTTGAGAGGTGTTATAGTTGTAAAAAACAGAGTCAGATTTGATCCGTCTATAGAGCGTCCAATGCTGGAATCCGGCAAAACCTCTGGTACAAATGAATCAATTCCCAGCCTTGTGGTTTTGCAATTACCATTTTTTCTGCAGATTCTTTATGACATGACATTGTGTTTTCTTCAGGTTCCTAATTATGCAGTGAAATACGTTCATGGCACATCTAAGAAGTGACTTTCTTTAACTAATATGCTTTTCTAAGAATCTATTTCCATTACTTGGTAAATGTTGGATTCACTAAAGTAACTCATTTGCTATCTGAATTTCAGACCGTTCGGTCGTTTATGGTTCGATGAAGTTGTTAATACGGTTGTGACGCGCGCTGAGCCGCATAATCAGGTAAAGTCTTTTTTTCTACATTTCCATTTGATTTTTGTGCACCTTTGAGTAATTGTCATTAAAAACTGGTTTCTGCAGATTATTCTCCATCCATTGCAAGACCGTGTGTTGAGTGTCCGTGAGAACGCCAGGTTACAAGGCTTTCCTGATTTTTATAAGCTATGTGGCCCGATCAGAGAAAAGTAAGTCCTTAGTTACAAGCGTGTTTCTAGATTTTGCTGTTGGAGAGAGTCTAATATGGTTTTGCGTCTAAATTTGCAGATACATCCAGGTTGGGAATGCGGTTGCTTTTCCTGTAGGGATTGCATTAGGGTATGCTTTTGGCTTGGCAAGTCAAGGGCTGTGCGATGATGGGCCTGAGATAAGTCTCCCCTTCAAGTTTCCTCAATGTTTGAAGCATGTAACTGCTGAGGAGCATTCTGCTTTACAAGGTCAAAAGGAAAAAGGTCTTTAGTCTTGTCACGTTCTTACTGGAAGATGAGGAATATCTCTATTGGTTAAATTCATTTTCAACTTAGCTTTTGGCACTAATGGCCATGAGGGGTCTTATTTATTTTCAGCAAAAACAATTGTTTCAAGTTTTAGGTTTTCTCTCAGATTCTATGTCAGACCTAACAGTTTATGACAGTTTAATGTTTCAAATTAAGTTTGGTTTCTAGCAACTTTACATGCTTCAGATGAGGATTTAAGGCATTGTGCTAAGTTCATTAACTTGAGAGGGTTACATTATTTTCAGTTAGTACTAATGTCTCATTTTCAGCAAAAAACAATTATGAAAGTTTAATGTTTCAAATCAAGTGATTGATGATGCTACAATAGCTTTACAGTTGACGATTTAGGCATTGTGCCAAGTTCATTAATTCGACAATATATATACAATAAGAAAAAAAATTAGTAACAAATTTGAATGTTGAATTACATTTTCTACATTCTACTTTGAAAACAAATCAAATTTATTACAAAACGAATTTGAAGACGCCAACGATCAAAGACAATAATAGTCAATGACAAGATTCCGCCTCCGAAAAGTTTTTTCAATTATATAAAAACAAAAATAGCTAGTTAAAATCTCAAATTTTAAAATACTTAGTGGAAAAAACTATTTACAAAAGAAAATAAACATTTAAAAAAAAACAATAATCAAAATTTGAATGCTAAAATTTACGTTATGTTGTGTTTAACTAAACGAATTTGAAACCGCTAACCATCAAAGACAAGTCAATGACAATGTTCATCTCCGAAAATTTTTCCCAATTATATAAATTTTAGCACTCAGATTTCCAAAAATCAAAATAGTTAGTTAAATCCTAAGTTTTAAAACATTTAGTGGAAAAAACTATTTACAACAAATCAATTTTTTTTTTTGAAAATAAATAATCAAAATTTGAATGCTAAAATTTACGTTATGTTGTGTTAACTAAACGAATTTGAAATCGCTAACCATCAAAGACAAGTCAATGACAAGGTTCATCTCCGAAAAATTTTCCCAGTTATGAAAATTTTTGCACTCAAATTTTCAAAAACCAAAATAGTTAGTTAAAATCCCAAATTTTAAAATAATCGGTGAAAAAAATCGTCACAAAACTTTGAAAACGTTTACTTTGAAAAAAAAGAAGTAGATTTTAGTGAGAAAGTTTGTTACAGTCAAGGGAAATAAATAGAATTTGTACCAATATTGATGAATGTGATAGACTTTGTTGGTGAAACTTTTGCGTCAATGGAGCCTCGCTAGCTACATATCACATCTGTCGAACTATGAGAGACTTGCACATCTCTCTGTATTGGCCAAATCAATCATAATCCAAATTAGTCACCAATCGCAAAAGCAAATTGCTGAACATGACAAATAATTTTTACAATTCCAAACCGCATATATTGAAACACGAGAGAGCCTAATCAATCAACGTACCCGATTTTGATTTTTAGGGCTACAAATTTCCACCGACTTCGTTCTTGTCGTATTAAGGCTTTTCACGAAGAATTTCAACAACACATGTAACCGAAACAGAGACAATCGAATTACTCATCTCATAAACAAGAAACGAAACTCTTTTGATGAATTGAGGGCAAATTACAATTGCGGAATCATAAAGATTGAGAAAGATTCAATTTTTAAAAGCTTACTTACTTGATCAATCAATGAATCTTGTTGTTGGATAGACGAGAACAGAGAGACGTGAAGCGAAATTCTAATTGGTGTTTTTGTTAAGCCAAAGAATCGGAGCAAACGAAAACCCACCTTTTGTCGGATTAAAGTTTGTAATCGAAGGATTCCAACAAAATCTGTAATCGAAATCAAACTAGTCATGATCTCGTACAAGAAACAAATTTCTTTTGATGAACTAAGAGCAAAATCACAGTTAACGATTGAGAAAAAATCAATTTTTAAAGACTTACTTGATCTATGAATCTTGTTAGATCGAAGAACATAGAAGAATAGTAGAGGAGAACAGAGAGACATGAAGCAAAAAATCTTATTTCTCTTGGCCAAAGAATCGGATGAAACAAAACCTATTG